TCTCTCTCTCTCTCTCTCTCTCTCTCTCTCTCTCTCTCTCTCTCTCTCTCTCTCTCTCTCTCTCTCTCTCTCTCTCTCTCTCTCTCTCTCTCTCTGGAGCTCCTTTGTGCGACGCGTCTACCTTGTGTGGGGCTAATGACAAAGACTTGTCGAAGCACGAAGTCTGATTTTCAAACATGGCCGCCGTGATTGTTGAGCGGGATCCGGAATGACAGAATAACACATCCATGACCCCCCACATGCCTCCATGACCCCGTTTTAGAATCACGAACGCGCTGCCAAGTGCGTTGGTGGTGTTTAAACATATCTGTGCGAAGGTGCGTGGCTGGCTATACACGCTAGCACGGTTGTCAGCCCTATTTGCTACGGCGCGGTTGGTGTGTGTGTGCGTGGGGGGGGGGGGGTATTCTGCATTTCCGACAACAATGAACAACCTACTCAAATTGCCCATTTTTAATCGCAATTTAATTTACGTTAAGTTACTTAAGTAAAGACCCACACCAGCGTTCTTGCTAATCGAATTTCTAAATGCGTATCCGCATTGTGCTCACTCCCATTCATGCTGCGCAATTAGATAATGACATTAGCAGTAAATTACGTACTGACAGGTACAGACGTCCGACGGTAGAACTCGACGATGGCATTACTCTTGTAGTAGTTAAAGTTAAAGTTTGTAGTACATTGAAATTTTAGGGGGCAGCCATCTTGAAGTTATGAAAATTAACCATGTTCCCGGGGTCAGATTTTGGGATACTTTTTTTCTGAGTAATTTATGACTCACTGATTTGATTAAAGCAAAAAAACTTTTTGTGTAAATTTGTTGGAAGTTAGGCCATTATTTTTCATATATTGACCCGGATATTGGTTAAAATATCGTTCGAGATGTTTTGAATAACGCGTGGCACGAAAAACGAGAACTGTTTCCTGTAAATCATTATGATGAACTTACTCTGAAAGAATACCGTTAGTTGGGTTAATGGGAAAGTAAAAAAGGGTAAATGGAGAGAAAGAAATTAATAAAATTAATAATTTAATTAAATGGGGGAAGTTAAATAATATGCGAATAATACACGTTATAGATGAGTTGAATTGCGTCACATGCTTTTCGCGAGATGGTAACATATTTCCAGTGAATAATAATATATTATTATTATCTCTATATATAGATTATTATCAATTATTATCTACTCCTGATATATCTAGATGGTAAATATTATTACATCATCATAATTAGCTGTACTAATTACACACAATAAACGAGCTTTACCCAGAGAAAGAATTCCCTAATTAGATTTTACTTTTCTCTCAGCTTCATTTTCATTACAGATTTCTGCTATACAGTGGCTATATGTGGAACATCAATAAATGTCAAAGTTAAAGTTGTATTTCGTCAGCGGGATTTCAAATTCAGAAAATGCAGCGTTTCCTCAGACATATAGACCTATGAGATGTTTACATACAAATAAAAAACTGAATGTATGTCTTGTATATCGAATTGGGATATACGAGAATTAAACAATTTGATGCATGCGCGCGCGTCCGTCTGTCCGTACGTCCGTGCGTGCGTGTGTGCGTGCTCAAGTTGTTGTGTGCGCGCGCGTCCGTCCGTCCGTACGTTCGTGCGTGCATGTATGCATGCGTGCTGAAGTTGGTGTGTGTGCGCGGTTCCGTCCGTCCGTACGCTCGTGCGTGCGTGTGTGCGTGCTCAAGTTGGTGTGTGTGCGCGCGTCCGTCTGTCCGTACGCCCGTGCGTGCGAGTGTGCGTGCTCAAGTTGGTGTGTGCGCGCGCATCCGTCCGTCCGTACGGCCGTGCGTGCGTGTGTGCGTGCTCAAGTTGATGTGTGCGCGCGCGTCCGTCCGTCAATACGTCCGTGCGTGTGTGCGTGCTCAAGTGGGTGTGTGCGCGTCCATACGCGCGTCCGTACGTTCGTGCGTGCGTGTATGCGTGCTTAGGTTGGTGTGTGCGCGTTCGTACGTCCGTGCGTGCGTGTATGCGTGCTCAAGTTGGTGTGTGCGCGTCCATCCGCGCGTCCGTACGTCCGTGCGTGCGTGTGTGCGTGCGTGTGTGCGTGCGTGTGTGCGTGCTCAAGTTGGTGTGCGCGCGTCCGTCCGCGCGTCCGTACGTCCGTGCGTGCGTGTGTGCGTGCGTGTGTGCGTACTTAGGTTGGAGTGTGCGCGCGTCCGTCCGTCCGTGCGTCCGTGCGTGCGTGTGTGCGTGCTCAAGTTGGTGTGTGCGCATTCGTCCGCGCGTCCGTACGTCCGTCCGTGCGTGTGTGCGTGCGTGTGCGCGTGCGTGCGTGCGTGCTTAGGTTGGTGTGTGCACGTCCGTCCGCGCGTCCGTACGTCCGTGCGTGAGTGTGTGCGTGAGTGTGTGCGTGCGTGTGTGCGTGCTTAGGTTGGTGTGTGCGCGTCCGTCCGCGCGTCCGTACGTCCGTGCGTGCGTGTGTGCGCGCGTGTGTGCGTGCTTAATGCACACGCACGCACGCACGCACGCGCGCACGTGTACGTGCACACGCACACATGCACGCACGTGTACGCACGCACGCACGCACGTATACGTGCACACGCACACACGCACGCACACACGCACGCAGGCACGCACGTATACGTTCACACGCACGTACGCACACACGCATGTACGCACGTGCAAGTGCACACGCACGCACGCACGAACGCACGTGTACGTAGTACACACGTACACACGCACGCACGCACGCACGCACGCACGCACGTGTACTTGCACACGCACGCACGCACGCACGCACGTATACGTGCACACGCACACACGCTCGCACACACGCACGCACACACGCACGCATGCACGCACGTTTACATATACACGCATGCACGCATGAATGCACGCAGGTGTACGTGCACACACACGCACGCACGCACGCACGCACGCACGCACGTCTACGTGCACATGCATGCACGACTAGGCGATTTCACCGGCGATTTAGTCGCCCGATTTAATCGCCTAGTGTGTCCACTCGACTCGCGCGATAGAATCGCCTAGTGTGTCCGGCCCTTTAGACGTCTTTACGTGGTATTTTTTAATGCGGCCAGGAATAGATTGTGGAGAACATTAGGAAAACAGGCTTTATCACCAGCGGGTGTAATTCTACAGCATGCAACACTGCTACTAGTAGCTAGCTTTATAAATGTAATAATATCAGGAGCGTATAATGACAAATACGTCATTATACGCTCCTGATAATATAAATACATAATGTTGTTCTATTTATAATATTTAAAAAAAATGCCAGCACGGCCCTCGCTACTATCAGTGTAGGCCTACAGAGCCAAGTCAGGTGACAGTGCAAGGCAAATAGCAAGCTTGCAATAATTCGCGGTGCACGTGGAAAAAAGCACGCAGCTCCACGCAACTTATGGCATGATCAGCATGCCCTTGCTTATAAAAGTCAGATAGATAATTAATATGATGCACATATGTATGGAATACACACGTATACGTTAATTATATATATCAATAACTAATAATACATGTATTTTAAGCTCTCGATGATATTAGTAAAGATTACGTAAATCAGAGTCACTACACACGGTTGGACTGCAAACCATTATCTCCTTCCCTGACAACACACATGTCAACCAAGAAGTGCCAGTCATATCACCACAAACTAATACACTGTTTCATGTTTGTTGAATTAAACTCTACGACACTTTGACGTATGATATCTATAGCAAAGGTCATACATCAAGAAGAAACTGATAGTCGATCATCACAACCCACGTTGCATAATCTATGTAAATCTCTCCAGGGAGCTTTAGAGTTACAGTGCAATTTATAACGACCGACCCCCATCCCCCCGCCTTTGTTTTTCACCCCCCTCCTTGAAATCCTGGATCCGCCACTGGAGCTAACCACACATTAACTGAAGCTACGCATAAACGTTAAATAAAGATCGACTAGACCTGTTTAATTTATTTTTAGTTATGTTTAGTCTTTGCAGCGCGTTCGCAATGCACCATCTCAGAAAAAGTGAAGGCATGCTGCATAGTGCATACCAGCAAGGGTAGCACAAGATCAGAAAGCAGAATCTCAAAGTTATCACTTTGTATTTAGTTACTTTCTTGTAGACCCCATTATTAAAGAGTTACTTCTCGACAGACCCCGTACAATCAAGCACTACTTTTTGGTAAACCAGACACGATTTTTGTTTGTAGCAGTCAATATATATAAAAAATTGTTACGTTTTAGTACACCAGGTAAAAAACAATACTAATTGGTGGACCACATACAAAGAAATCAACTCTTCATTAATTGCTAAAGCTAAATTTAAAAAATGACCCAATGGAATTATATACTGGAATATCTTCCAGTATACACTATAAACATAAACATACTATTTTTTTCTACAGACCTACTTTTAAAACGGAAAAAACGATGAGGATTTTCAGCAACCCAAATAGACATAGACCGCAGCGTTTGACATAGCAGCCACCCCAAGTCCGCAACTGTGAACTTTTGAGCAAGACTATCCGGATTTTACCGATTTTAGATAGCCTCACGTTGAATTTAAAACAGAAAATAATATTAGAAATCGAAATTTTCGAAATCAGGACTGCCAGGGGTTTTCAGAATTTCCAAGGCTGCAGACGGGTACAAGATTTTGGCACACAAAGGACAACACTCCCCCGCGCGTAGGGATCCGTGAGAGCGGCTGTGTGACGGGGTGAGTGTTGGTATATTCTCCTCAGGGTGTTAGCCAGGAAAAAAAATCAAGGAGTCTCACCATCTGAGAAAAGCAGGATGCTGCGGGCGCGAAGTGCCCCCTAAGGGGTTTTGCCCCTCCTACGGTGTGGAAAATTTTTAAAACCTTACCTTAAAATGGAGGAAATTTAGTAGGTTTTTTTTACATAGAAATAAAAATATTGTTTTGTTGGAAGAAGTATAAGATTTTATTTTCATGCAGGGGTAAAATTGGGCCGCCCTCATGCCGTCTATCAAATTTCATCCGTCTCATCCAAGAATAGGCCGTCCAAAAGACGAGTAGATGGGTCTCTGGCTAACTGAAGTTTTTTTCTGGTATCTATTTTTTCTTCATGTTGTCTTAATCACTTTACTTGTACAGAATATACTGAAGGTTTTTTTGTGTGTATATTTTTTTTCTTCATGTTGTATCGCACCGTTTTGTACTGTATCACTCAGAAAAACACGATTTTAACTACTCAACACTTACCTTAATCACTTTACTAGTACAGAATATGCTGAAGTTTTTTTTTGTATATATTTTTTCTTCATGTTGTATAGCATTGTAATTGTACTGTATCAGTCAAAAAATTTATCATTTTAACTACTCAACACTATTGCTTTTATCAGATTTTTTCTCCATGAAAAAAACTGTCGTCAGTACATGTATTTGTATCTGAATTACATGCAATAAAGATTTAATAATAATAATAATAATAACATAACACACTGGTTCTGCTACCTTGTTGATGACGCGTTTGCCCTCGAAGCGGTGCACGTATTCCTCCGGGGTCGCTACCGTGAACTCCATGCGCTTCTGATCCTTACCCATCTTGAAGAGGCTAAAACCGGACATGGAGTGCCTGCAGCAGTGGATGTAAGACATCGAGTTAGACGCATGGGAAAAATTAGAAGTTAGACGCTCTTTTTTTCACGGGAGCTCTTTTTCAAGTTTGTGGGGAAAATTTCTCTCGTCAAAAATTTTCCGGGAGCGATTTCGGAGGTTTGGAGGCTTATTGACGAGTTCGTTATCAGTTGCCGGATGTGATTTCATGTGCCGTGCGAATAGGTAGGGCCGTGTCCTGCGACAGCAAACATGGCAATGGTATATATATACGTACTGCAAACACAAAGCACCCTGCAATGTAATGCAATGCGATTTGCGATGTACATTGCTGTGCAATGCAATACAATTAATGCACTTTGCAATGCAATGTAATGCATATATTGTAATGCACCTTGCAATGCAATGTGATTTGCAAATGCTCTGTGCAATGCAATGTATCATACATTGCAATGCATCTCGCAATGCAATTTAATACCCATCGCAATGCACATGACCTTGTTACATGATGTCATGTGCATCGCATTTCAGACTTGATTCACAGAATAGCACCCATAGCTGCAGTGACGTATTGAAACGCGATTCCAACATATGTTCATACACACTTGTGTGAAATGATAACCTAAATCATGCTGGGATACCAGCAAGTGTAATCTACAGACTCCCTACCCTCAAAAAGAGGGTGTCCGCAGCAAAATGAGGGAGTCCGCAGTCTGAGGTTCAAAATTAAAGATATTAACAATAACGCGTGTGCTTATTTTTAAGATTCATGCAGTTGCACGTCTGCCAAATTTTCTTTAGACATTAGCTGAACAAATACGGTAATTCCGCGAGGCCCAGGCCATGCTCCAGAACGAACTAGTTAGTATGGCAGAATTTTCAGGGAGTAACACGGACTCCTGCATATTATGTCAAATCAGGGAGTCCGACAGTACATCAGGGAGTATTTGACTCCGGACTCCCGTTAATTTCGCACCCTGGATTTTTGTGTACCATTGCGAGATACATAAGCTGCATAAAGTGCATTTGCACCCCACATAGAAGTGCGCATGCATCTGTGGATAGGTAAATAAATCATTATGCGCAGCTGTTGAATGTTTTCTTACAACTTATTCAATAACATCAGCCGGATAGCATTATAAAATTAAAGGTTGTGTGTGTGTTGTTCACAGTACAAAACAATAGATTACTCAGTAAATTATGCAATACTGCATAAGAGAATCATTCTCTATTTTTGTAGAGTACGACCAACCTAAGGCAACCTTTATACCCAATTATTGAAACCAATAATTAAGCTACCCTACATTCTAGGGAAAACATGACTACCAACACAACACTGGCGGGGAATTTCTCACCCATATGATGATTTAAGTGAGTATGGATAAGAAAACAGGTTTGGAGAAAAAACGGGATATTTTTTGCACGAGTGTACACACACGATCATAACCTACAGTGTTTCGACTCAGCATGCACGTGGTACTCTGTATTAGTACCATATCTACTGTACTAGTACCACTACTATTGTACTATTGAACGATAGTTTTCAGTTCCAGATTTTTCCATAGGTTCCATTAGGTTCCATAGGTTCCAGATTTTTTAGGTTTACTTCTACATGCTGCTCTGAAATACACTGACTTTTTTACACCTACATAAAAAAAATAGTAGACAAATCAGAGCACAAGCATGTTTTTTTCCAGAAAACCTCGTTTTTGCATGTATATGGAAACTATAAGATTGCTGAGATTCAATAACACGCATTCTGCCCCCACATAGGTGCTGGCAAATAATCCGGAGCTATGAAAAGGCCGCATCTTAAAAGCATGGGGTTTCGCATTGTATGGACTATAGACATATAATCCAGGTCATTCTTTGAATCTTTCTCATGTAGACGCAGCTGTAGCGACCATTATTATACCTATAATCATACTCTAAAGGCCCCCACACATGGTGAGACTCGTGCTGAGCACGGAGCGTGAGTTTGGCTGGCTCAGCAGGAGTCTCACACCTCTGCACACGCTGAGTTTTCAGCCTCGCGAGCCAAACATTATCAAAGACGACAGATATTTCCCTCGCCGCCTTGCGAGACCGAAGGCTTCAACAGTTAGACCGTTTGAGACCCTAAAACGGCGTTTGGTACACCTTAAGAACAGAACAGATATGCACAACATTACGGACAGAACGTAGACACCGTAGCACCCAAATCGTTCACAAGTGCTCAACGAAAACAGTCGGCTACCGAAATCACCAAATCTGCGATCACTGACTACGTAGCGAAGGACAATCACACCATCGATTGGGAGAATTCGAAGATCATCGATCGCGAGCCTATTAAAATCCGGCGTTGGATTAAGGAAGCCATTTGGATCCGCAAGACCCCGAACATCAACCGGGGACGAAGGGGGATACAGGCTTGGTCACGTGTGGACTAAGCTATTGACCACCACACCATCTGGTGGTCAAAACTGATAATCATCAGTTAGCTTTGAGAAAGCCTCCTGGCAGGAGGCGAAACGTAAGCTGTACGTTTCCAATCTTCACGGTTGGGTAACATTTAACTCTGTTATATATATTAGTCTACCAACCGAATAAACTTATTTAATGAAAACGATTGTTGTTGTTGTTGTTGTTGTTGTTCCTGTACTTTTGGGTGTTTACCTTCCATCTCCTGCCTCAACTCTCACCCACCTCCTTGTTTCTCTCCTACGATTTCCCTCACGCATTTGTGTAGCGTCACAGCTGCCGCTTTTCTGAGTTATAATATCACCGTTTAGTTGAGGCAGCCTATGGCTATCAGAACCTTTCAAAACGCATCATGCGCCTTGGGTGAACCTCGCTTCAAACAATGAGACAGCCGCGCAAATACTTCCGTGAGCAATTTCACGGGCATAGCAAGCAGTAATCGTGTCACAAGAATTGTTATTCGCATGAGCTAACGTGAGACAACACTCAAACATACAAACACAGATAGAGAAGTATAGACACAGCTATAGAAATACAAACACAGCTAGAGAAGTACAGACGAGTAGAGATGGCAAGAGCCGGATGGGATGTACAGAACAAATTCTACCACAGACACACACTAGACACGCATACACGCATGCACGCACGCACGAGCACGCACGCACGCACACACACACCAGACACACAACTCACTCACTCACTCACTTACTCACTTACTCACTCACTGCCCCAGATTCCCAAATTAGTTGCGTTGTCACCCGGTATAACATGAATGACGTCTTAACTAACTTTCGTATAGGTTGATACGTTTACGTGGAGTTGCAAGGTTATCGTCTCTGCCAATCAATCGCATATCTATGGAAAAAATATTTGTTAATCCGCGAATGCAATGCAGCCTTCCGCTACAGGCACTACCTGAGCAAATATCTGGCTTACAGCATCGTACGGGCAATAAACCACGTGGATTTCTGTTGCCGTCCTAATAAAGCCAATAAATGTTGGTTTACAAGCATGAAAGACGTCGTGACGTGATACGTAAATTCCAGCGCACGATTTTTTACAGCCATCCGAAAGAAAAAAAACGCTGCGAGAGAGAAGTGTCGTGAATGCGCAGTGACGGATGAGGTTAAAAATCGACCGCATTTACCAAGGGACGGAGTAATGAAAACGGATGTTGATGTACGGCTGCGACGTAATATGAAATCTTTTCTTCAAATTTTCTTTTCTTTTTTTCTATATTTAACCTGTAGATGGCGCACCATACGCATTTCAACCTTGTACGTATCCGAGGCAAAATAGTGTGAATCTGAGGTTCGCTTTGGAAAAATTGTTAAATTTTATCGTGTTATCCTTCTTGATTTTGTATTTATAAATTGGAACAGTTTTTATCAATAAAACCTTATTGATTTTTTGAAAAAGCTGTGGATCGTTTCCAGGATCTCCACGCATAAGCGATCTTTAAAATGCACCGACAGGAAATACACCGAATGTCATAGCCTGAATTGCATTATTCACGTCTAATTAATTTAAATTAACGTTGGTTTTAACTGTTAAATAACGTTTACACGTTTAAATAAACTCGAAGTTGTTTAAATTAAATTGATTACACTTATCCGGTATAAATGACAAACCGTGACATAGTAATGAGTGGATTTGAACCTGTTTCGTTATTATTAAAACTGTTAATAATCGAGTTTCTTCCATTTATACTTAAACCCATTGTTAATTAACATTACAGATTCATCTGATTTTCGAAAAGCACGCTCTCTCTTTCTCTATCGCTCTTTTTCTATCACTCGCTCTCTCTCGTCGGCGACAGATTTCAGCATGATTCTACGCCGACACGCCAGTTACGAGTTCTATCGCCTTGATTCCGCTCTATTCTGTCTTATACTGGTCTATCCCGCCTTATTTCTGATATATTCTGTCAATTCAGTACATGTATTTGTATTTGAATTACATGCAGTAACGCTTTTATAATCATAATAATAATAATAATAGTAATATTTTACAGTTTAGATGAAAGCACGTACGCTTATACTTATACACGTAACTAAACAACAAACAAAACACGTAACTAACAAATGTAAACACGTAAACAACAACACGTAACTAACAAACTAGCAGAGTTACTTTACTATCGCGAAGTGAGAAGCGTTACCAGCCGAGCTTGACCAAAGCATCTCGTTCTTCCGCCATTCAAATTTAAATTGAGATCCGTACGAAACGGAGTATGACAGTGTGAATGCCGAATGAAGTACCGTGGATTTACGAGAACGCAATAAGTTGTTTTTTGGAATCGTTTTAAACAGACCGAGTGGCACGGCAAAGCTTTAGCCGTTATCGTAAACAGCTTTTCTCTCCTTTCGTCAGCATCGTCACGGCAGATCATGCGTGCGTGCTTCAGTATACTTTAGTACGTTTAGTACGTTTTACATATAGTATGACACTGTCGCCACATCGCTCATATATATATATATATATATATATATATATATATACACGCGCGCGCACACATGCATACACGCACGCACGCACCACGCACGAACGCACGTACAC